GTTTCTTACTTCACATGTCTGGCCACTTGCAAAAGCAAGTATTATTGTACATGATAGTTTTCTTTGTAAACATAGCTTTGGACATAGATCAGAAGCATTTCCAACACAACGACCATCAGCTAATGAAACAAACTGTTTTGTAGGTTGTGTACGACCATGTTGTGGGACTGGGAAAATGCCATTTGGAGAATGTCCAAAAGAATGTCGACCGAAAGATCATCCTGAGTGGATACATTGTTAGTCTTTTGTTTAGTTTAAATGTAATCAGTGTTTTCTTTATTTTTCTGTATAATAAATCTTCCAATATATAGATATGATTATTGATATATTCTACTCACTCTCAATATATAGTAAAAGTTTTGTTAGATATTAAAAACATAGATTATGCTTGATATTATCCAGTTCTAGATAACTACATTTATTTACTTCAAGTTTTTACTATTTATATATTGAGTGGTAGTATGAATAATGAAGGATAAAAAATGAGACCGTTTGTCAATACCTACTGGAGAGCAATCGTATGAATAGTAAAATCTATCGAGTCGAATAATGCTCGATTCACTTCTATTAAATATCTTCTTGTTGCAATCTCAATTAGTTTTTTTTCCGATATTCTATGTAAAATTATGCTTTTCATACTTTTCATAAATTTTGTTTCAATTCAAATTTAACTAAATGAATATTATAGAATATTAAATAGTTTTGATACAAAATGCACCGTTAACTTTTTTTAAAGAACATAACGTACTATGAATACCATATCGATAGCAGGAGTGCTAGCTTATTTATGGTGATATATATGTTATGAAAAAAGTCAACCAAAAATATATATGATGAAATATTAAATACTAGACGAGTATGAATTTATATTGAATGGATCAGTATTTGTCGATTTAAATTATTCTGTTACATTTATAAATCTAGCGCAAAATTACTAAGATAAAAGAGTAATAATTATAAAAAAGAAATCAAACATAGAATGTAAAAACAAGATGTTCATGAATAGCAATAGTATCATATATTTCGTTTGATGCTTTTTTATTAATATTTTTATTTTTTTTAGAAATTTAAAATAACATCGAAGAAATTTCATCAGCTAATTAAATTGATTATGATTTACCTGAAAATTCATGTATAAACTGAGAAATATTTTAATGCAACTCAATTAGATAGCATGATTTGTATTTCAATTTATTGAAATAACTTATTTAAGCTTTCATTGCTCGACTAAATCAGTATATGTATATCAATAAACAAGACTTGATTCTGGTCTAATATTCTAGAATTCTCATAGAACTCTAATTTTAGCCTTACAAATGTACCTATCATAACTTGAATCGCTCGATCTTTTACAACAATATTTTCTATTCGGATACTTTTTTTAAAAGTAAAAGCGATTACGTAGCTCATGTTTTTCAATTGAAACGAATCAAACTTTTTTGTGAAAGGCATCAATGCCCACTCCTTTAGTGGCTTGAATTTTTAGAATGATGAAGACCCTTATTAAGGTGCGGTGGTACTCATCGCTTTGACTCATATCTTTTCGTTTTCTTCTTTTTTCTTTCATCTTCTCTATTCTCTTCTCTTCTCTTTCTTTCTGTCTTCTTTTTTATCTTTTCTTCGTCTCTCTTTCTTTTCTTTCATTATTGCCTATTTACTCCCCCTCTCCCCCCCCCCTTTTATCCACTAACGTAGCACAATATCAATGAAATGTACCTTTTTATTGTATGCTTATATTACTGACAGTGATGTATAACAAGCAGTTGTGAACCCTTACGGTACTAATTGTTCACACTCACCAATGTTATCATAAAGAAAGTGAATTGCAAAAAAAATAATCATATCTTGGTTTATAAGAAAATCTAATTAAAGACCACTGAAGATTAAATTTTATTCTAATCTAATTAATTGTTTCTCATAGATAATCATTAATCTAATTGACCGAAACTTTATATTTTTCTAAATAGATTCAATATGTTTTTTACTTTATTTTCACAGAAATCTTTTATCTAAATTTGTTAACAATAAAGGATTCTTTTGAGGGTGTGGGTGTAAGTGACAGATGAAGTAAATACCCACATCTAATCCCTGAATGTCTGCTGAATTTATACACATATATAGATAGATTAATATAATTCATTTGTTCATTATATATCGAAGTTTTAAATTATTAGATAGTATTAATTATCCGATATCTGATGTGTTACTATAGTTTTTAGTGTTGTCCAAACTAAATAGCTGATTTCTCTAATAGTATGAAATAATAACTAAGGATGACCTAGCAGAAGCTAATAAAAGTTTGAGATTTGCCACGACCTCAATAATTGATGAACAAACAAAGTGAAATCGAAACTTAATTCAACTGTTATCAATTCATTATTTCGAAACAAACTTTTCGTACATCGTAGTTCGTGTACAAACGAAATTTGTATGCCATTGAATTTACAGGCAAGATGAAGATAAAATATAGAGATGTTTTTTTATTTGTTGACATGTACTGATATATTCTGCTTATGAAGTTTATTAGTTTCATTTTGTTATTGCCTCTGTGAGAAAAAAAACTTAGAAATTGATAGGTGAATAGAACTTGATTTTTCTTCGTTACAGAAAAAACTCTAAAATAAACTGCATATATTTTTCACTAAAATCTGTTAAAAGAGTATTAATATTGTATAAAAATCAACTAGATGAATGTTATTATCGTATGATTTATGAATGATTTTTATTTTACTATATGAGTAAAATATATTTTATCGTAGAAAAAGAATTAGACGATAAAGAATAAAATCATGAGCTATAATATTATACTACCTATTATTAAATATTTACTTTTAGAGATAGTGTTTATATCCTTCTAAATTTCACTGGCATTGTATATTGAAAGAAATGAAGATATTATAATGTTAAAATCAAAGAATATGTTATAAAAACAGACGTACAATCAATGTCAAAAACAAATCAATACTTCATTTATTTTATTTTCCCATCCATCTTTTTGTCATTTATAGCATTTGTTCTAACAAATGTACATTTTTCAACACCTTTAATTTCGAAAACATTACAAGTAAATTATAGACGACGGCCGGAATGCACGTGTTTAAGACGTGAATTATCTCCAGTAATATCTTTGCCAACTATACAGAAAAATAAAAGTCAATCATCTCTTTGTAATCAATATGCTACACGACGAGGACCAAATCAACGTATTATTGCAATTA